GTCTCTGGTGTGTGCCGCTGGTGTGTGTCGCTGGTGTGTGTCGCTGGTGTGTGCCGCTGGTGTGTGTCGCCGGTGTGTGTCGCTGGTGTGTGCCGCTGGTGTGTGTCGCCGGTGTGTGTCGCTGGTGTGTGTCGCTGGTGTGTGTCGCTGGTGTGTGTCGCTGGTGTGTGTCTCTGGTGTGTGTCTCTGGTGTGTGCCTCTGGTGTGTGTCGCTGGTGTGTGCCTCTGGTGTGTGTCGCTGGTGTGTGTCGCTGGTGTGTGTCGCCGCTGGTGTGTGTCGCTGGTGTGTGCCGCTGGTGTGTGTCGCTGGTGTGTGTCTCTGGTGTGTGTCGCTGGTGTGTGTCTCTGGTGTGTGTCGCTGGTGTGTGTCGCTGGTGTGTGTCTCTGGTGTGTGTCTCTGGTGTGTGCCGCTGGTGTGTGTCGCTGGTGTGTGTCTCTGGTGTGTGTCTCTGGTGTGTGTCGCTGGTGTGTGTCGCTGGTGTGTGTCGCTGGTGTGTGTCGCTGGTGTGTGTCTCTGGTGTGTGTCGCTGGTGTGTGTCGCTGGTGTGTGTCTCTGGTGTGTGTTGCTGGTGTGTGTCTCTGGTGTGTGTCTCTGGTGTGTGTCGCTGGTGTGTGTCGCTGGTGTGTGTCGCTGGTGTGTGTCGCTGGTGTGTGTCGCTGGTGTGTGTCGCTGGTGTGTGTCGCTGGTGTGTGTCTCTGGTGTGTGTCGCTGGTGTGTGTCTCTGGTGTGTGTCTCTGGTGTGTGTCTCTGGTGTGTGCCGCTGGTGTGTGTCGCTGGTGTGTGTCGCTGGTGTGTGTCGCTGGTGTGTGTCGCTGGTGTGTGTCTCTGGTGTGTGTCGCTGGTGTGTGTCGCTGGTGTGTGTCTCTGGTGTGTGTCGCTGGTGTGTGCCGCTGGTGTGTGCCGCTGGTGTGTGTCTCTGGTGTGTGCCGCTGGTGTGTGCCGCTGGTGTGTGTCTCTGGTGTGTGTCGCTGGTGTCCACTGGGTCTGGTCGTACAGAAGGGGATGCAGTGAAGGTTTCTGGTGTCAGTGAGGTTGAACATCATTGCCAGGGTTCTGACTTTAGAGTCTCTTTATTCGTTTGATCTAGAACAGCTGCAGTTGTGTATAAACACTTTCACTCTGGTTGAGATGACTCATGAATTTCTGTTTAGACAACACAAACACAGTCTTAACAATAGCTAGGGCTGCACTATTAATCTCAATTCACGAGAAACCGATTTGGATTATTGCGATTTTGAAATCGCAAAGTCTGTGATAATTTCCCCTGCGCAGCTCGTCAGTGAAGCACGGCTCTGTGAACGCGGCTCACTCTGAACGCACTGCGAGGTGGAGTATCTTATAACACGCGTCAAACATCTTTCCAAACATGAGAAGCATTTATGAACCTCTTGTTCAACAAACTCCCTTCATAACGTCAGATGAGTGTTTAAAAACATCCTTCTGTGAGATGATGTGGCTTCTCACACACATTAGGCACACATCATATTATTTCATAGTATTCTATACAGTGATAAAGCCTCTGTCAATTATCATTGAAGTAAAAATATACTTTATTATCATGAAAATACCCGATAGTCTTGAAGAACTCAGATAACCATATACTGTTGTAGTCGTGTGCTTATTAGTCATGTTTAATCAAAGCGTTTCAATCTTCTGTTTATTCAGATACAGCGAGTGTGATGTATAGAATGTGTGTGTGTGTGTGTGTGTGTGTGTGTGCGTGTGTGTGTGTGTGAGACGCCCTCTGGTGTTCAGAGAGATATGTGTGTGTGTGTGCGTGTGTGTGTGTGTGAGACGCCCTCTGGTGTTCAGAGGGATATGTGTGTGTGTGTGTGTGTGTGTGTGTGTGAGACGCCCTCTGGTGTTCAGAGGGATATGTGTGTGTGTGTGTGTGTGTGTGTGTGTGTGTGTGTGCGTGTGTGTGTGTGTGTGTGAGACGCCCTCTGGTGTTCAGAGGGATATGTGTGTGTGTGTGTGTATGTGTGTGTGTGTGTGTGTGTGTGAGACGCCCTCTGGTTTTCAGCCGCTGCATAAATTCTAAAAATCCACATAAAAAACACATGCGCTCAATTGAGGTGGATAATAGTTTTGATCCGATAAGAAGACGTGAACAAACTACGATGGAAACACATTTACTGAATAAATCCCTCAATAAACTCATGTGACTTTGGCTCAGCGTCAGCTGTGATTGGATGAGTGGAGTAACCAGCGGACCAATGGCATCGCAGCATCTCTTATGTTGGTTTGTGTGATCAGAATTATTTGGTTTAATTCCCTCCATTTCGTCTGACGCTCGACACACACTCATTTATGATGGAGGGAAAACAGCCCGATTGCAGAAACTTAGTTTATTACTGATATTTAGTGCCAATTTCTCAGGAAGTGACAGTTTTGTTGTTTTGGGGTTGGAAAAACAAATTTTCTAAGCGATATTCCAATTTTGCACACATGTTCGTAACTTTGGATGGAAACAAAGCAAATGAACCTGAAATGGGAGATTCCTTAACTCCAGTGGGTATTTGAGACAGAAGCCTCTATGAGACTGGATGTACAGTATTTAGCATTAGTATACTAGCAGAAACCCTTAGTTCTTCCATTAAGATGTGCTGTAAGTGCTTAGATAGCAGTGTCGCTTCTTTCTTCAGGCTGTTGTGTTTCCTCAAGGAACTACAAGTCCAATTGTACAGGCACGTTCTTCGCAGCGGCTCTATTAGCCCACGCTAACAGCTTCCAGATGGCCGAGTCTCGTCACAGAGCGAGCGATTGTTTGTGCAGGTCTCCTCGACTCTGATCAAGACCATGTGTGGATCCAGGTCTTCAGCGAGGACTCGAGCGTCGGCTGATACGGCCTCAGTTTGATGTGCTCGGGAGCTTAACTGTAAATGAAGCTGATCTGTGATTAGCTCAGGCTTCAGGGGTGTCTTGGTTTCTCATCTGCAAGGGAAACAGGGAGATTCTTCCTTAAAACAGAAGCCGATTGAAGTGGAGGGGAATGAAGATGTAGGACCTGGAGGGAGTTTACAGCCCCGGATGAAGTGTGTGTGTGTGGTAATAAAACTGCAGGAGTGTTGGCCGCCGCTCAGCACATAAACAGGAAAATGCATGGAGTGATTATAAAGACCCTAATTTTGAGATGAATTGTAAGCTGGATTGAGACTTTGAAGAAACTCAAGAGAAGGAAAGATGCTTTTACACAGGAGCTTATAATAATGTCTCGTATTTTGTAAAGCATGCATTGTCTGCGGATGGGATCGAAAAATCTTAAAAGCTGGAGTCAAACTCAGATTCCTCAAGCAACACTGATAATAATCATAAATGTTTCTCGAGCATCAGATCCTCATATTAGAGTGATTTCTGAAGGATCATGTGACACTGAAGACTGGAGTAATGATGCTGAAATTCAGCTTTGATCACACGAATAAATTACACTTTACTATATATTCACAATATATTCTTTCATTTGAAAGTCACGTGAATAGTATCTGTAAAACCGCATTCTTCCATCTTAATAATATATCTAAATTACGCCATATGCTCTCAATGACAAATGTGGAACAGTTAGTTCATGTGTTCATGACCTCAAGGCTAGATTACTGTAATGCTCTACTGGGTGGTTGCCCTGCACGCTTAATAAACAAACTCCAGCTGGTCCAAAACGCCGCAGCTCGAGTTCTTACCAGAACCAGGAAGTATGACCATATTAGCCCGGTTCTGTCAACACTGCATTGGCTCCCTATTAAACATCGTATACATTTTACAATATTGCTGATTACTCACAAAGCACTAAATGGTTTAGCTCCCAGTACTTGAGCGAGCTCTTAACGCATTATAGTCCTTCACGTCTATTGCGATCTCTAAACTCCGGCCAGTTGATAATACCTAGAATATCTAAATCGACTGCAGGCGGGAGATCCTTTTCCTATTTAGCACCAAAACTCTGGAACAGTCTTCCTACCATTGTCCGGGAAGCAGACACACTCTGTCAGTTCAAAGCTAGACTAAAAACACATCTCTTTGACTTAGCATTCACATAATACACTATAGACTTCTATAATTCAATGTTAGGCTGCATAGATTAGGTCAGCCGGAACCGGGAACACTTCCCTTAAATCCTGATGTACTCGTTACATCATAAGAAGAATGGCATCTACGCTAATATTAGTCTCTCTGTTTATCCCGAGGTTTACCGCAGTCCGCCGGGACTAAATAATTCTGTATTATGCTGCCAGACAAGTAATTTGGTGAGGTCAATTTGTAAAGACTATACGCGCATGCGCACATATATTCAAACGGGCATACCTATAGATTAAACACATGACATGCATGTGCACGCCGTCTCCGTTTTCACAGATTCACGTTTTTGAAGTTTACAAGGAAATGATAATGTTTTTCAACATTTTTCTTGGAACCCGTTTCAAGGTTTGCGTTCTCGAGCTCCAAACACTGTGTGCGAATGAACGGGCCCGGAACACATTAAAAGTCTCTGTTAGAGCGGTGTCGTGTTAGCGGCCCCTAAGTTAATAACTAATGATCTTTGCAACGGAAGTGAATCAATCAAAACTAACTTTATCTGGACAATAACTTTATTCTAGAACTGCTGTAAAGCCTAAACACTCTGTGTTACTGTAATCTCCTGTTATCACTGTAAAGCTGCTGTGAAACTCTCTATTGGTAAAAGCGCTGTATAGATGAAGATGACTTGACATAGAAAACAGTTGTTTTACATTGGAATAATATTTCACTGTTTTTACTGAGTTTGATGGTGTTTTCAGTAGTCAAATGTTAGTAGCCTATGTTGCTAAGCTAACTATTGGGTCACATTGCAAATGTTTTATTTATGAGATGTTACGTGAGATTGGATGCAGATTTAGCTCAAGCAAGCTCGACAGCTCAACATATGTACTAACACTATCCGGCTCCTGTGGCCTGAGGCTGCAGAATATCCCAGCATTAACCGCTGATTTGCTCTGTGTGTGTGTGTGTGTGTGTGTGTGTGTAGAGAGTGGCTCTGGCGGGCAGCTGGACCTGACGGAGCTCATCGGCGTGCCCTTGCCCCCGGCGGTCTCCTTCATCACCGGCTTCGAGGGATTCCCTGCGTACAGCTTCGGGCCGGACGCTAACGTGGGCCGCCTCACGCGCTCCTTCATCCCCGACCCGTTCTTCCGTGACTTCGCCATCATCGTCACGGCCAAACCCAGCAGTCGTCGGGGAGGGGTGCTGTTCGCCATCACCGACGCCCTGCAGAAGGTGGTGCAGCTGGGTGTGGCGCTGGCGCCGGTGGAGGACGGGTCTCAGCGGGTGCTTCTGTACTACAGCGAGCCCGGAGCCACACACACACACGAGGCGGCCTCCTTCAAGATGGCGGAGCTCACGGACCGGTGGGCCAGATTCACACTGGCGGTGCAGGGGGAGGAGGTGAAGCTCTACATGGACTGTGAGGAACACCATCGCGTGGCCTTCCACCGGAGCCAACACACACTCTCCTTCCAGCCCAGCTCCGGCATCTTCATCGGGAACGCTGGAGGAACGCGGATGGAGCCCTTCGTGGTGAGTTTCTGATTTACTATTTACACACTGGTTCTGATCCGAACCCTCGCCTTCTGGAGCAGCGTCTTAAAGTCCCCCTGTAGTCAATAGTTTTATCCCTTAAAACTCATCTTTCATCACCAAAATGACATATTTAAACGTTTTTTCCTTGAATAAAAATTCTTCATGCCTTAAAATATCTTGAATGTAACTCGAGACCCTTGACTCATTTAGTATGTGCGGTTCTATGAATATGCAGATGAGCCCCGCCTCCACTCACTCACTCAGCTCAGAGATCCACTGGTTGACGATCACACGTTGATCTGATTGGTTACAAGGTCGTTTGTGACGTCAGAAACACCAGCGATTTCAAACCGTGTTTTTGAGACTGTCTTTGGTTCACTGCAGTTTTAAGCAGAAAATACTTTAAATTAAATCGTTTTTATTTTTAAATAATAAATTATTATTTAATGTTTGTGTACACACACATTTGGTATGTGATAGAGAGAATATCATGTATCTTTATTAAATGAGATATTTTTGGAACACATCATAATTTTGCTTCCTCTTGCTTGGATAAAACATGCTCAAATGCATTGAATGCCCTGGTTAGGGTGCTCACGAGGTTTGGGACGAAGTGTTTTATGCCCACGTGTGTCTGTGTAGCATCACTAACTAACAGAGTTACGGTGCGGCTCTTCACGCTAGATCCTGTGCTGTCGACTGGCTCGAGTCTGTTTACCTTTAAACGCATTATACACATAAACCACAGTAGAGTTACATAGCACATTAATCACAGCTTATTACAGGAATGTTGTGATGATGACCACGGTTGTGCACAGTTGTTGTTTTTTTCATAAAGGAAAAGAACAAAAGACATGCATCGTCTCTAAACCAATTAAAGTGCGTACATTACCATGAGCATCTCCACAAGCGTCGCAGATGTGTCGTATAACCGTCAGCTCGGGCGAGAGAGGCGCCAAGACATTGATTTGTGGCTCGTTCACATTCTGAACAACATTGGACAACATCAGCCCGCCACAAGACCGACGACGTGGCAGTCTTACACGACTGGAGACATGAGCATGGACGTGTATTTTAATTTTTTTCCCCTTTTTGGACCACTAAAGTGCATGAATTTATGTTTTCCTCTTCTCTCTTCTCACACACACAAAAAGAAAGAAAACACTTTTAAAGGAAAGTTCATTCGAAATAGAACTTCTTCAGTTACTCTGATCATGTCGTTCCAAAACTTCCAAAATTTTCTTTCTGACATAAAACACACAAGGAGATGTTTAGCACAATGTCCAAGCTGCTCTTTTCCATGAAATGCAAGTATACAGTATATTCGGTTAATTCTCCTCAGATTTTGAAAATAAATTAGAGGATTTGGTTGCGAGTGCAGTGCGCTTGCAGAGAGACTCCGCCCACACGCTCTTCTGATTGGCTGTGAGTTTTGATTGATTTGGTTGCGAGTGCAGTGCGCTTGCAGAGAGACTCCGCCCACACGCTCTTCTGATTGGCTGTGAGTTTTGATTGATTTGGTTGCGAGTGCAGTGCACTTGCAGAGAGACTCCGCCCACACACTCTTCTGATTGGCTGTGAGTTTTGATTGATTTGGTTGCGAGTGCAGTGCGCTTGCAGAGAGACTCCGCCCACACACTCTTCTGATTGGCTGTGAGTTTTGATTGATTTGGTTGCGAGTGCAGTGCGCTTGCAGAGAGACTCCGCCCACACGCTCTTCTGATTGGCTGTGAGTTTTGATTGATTTGGTTGCGAGTGCAGTGCGCTTGCAGAGAGACTCCGCCCACACACTCTTCTGATTGGCTGTGAGATTTGATTGATTTGGTTGCGAGTGCAGTGCGCTTGCAGAGAGACTCCGCCCACACGCTCTTCTGATTGGCTGTGAGTTTTGATTGATTTGGTTGCGAGTGCAGTGAGTTTGCAGAGAGACTCCGCCCACGCACTCTTCTGATTGGCTTTGAGTTTTGATTGATTTGGTTGCGAGTGCAGTGCGCTTGCAGAGAGACTCCGCCCACACACTCTTCTGATTGGCTGTGAGATTTGATTGATTTGTTGCGAGTGCAGTGCGCTTGCAGAGAGACTCCGCCCACACACTCTTCTGATTGGCTGTGAGTTTTGATTGATTTGGTTGCGAGTGCAGTGCGCTTGCAGAGAGACTCCGCCCACACACTCTTCTGATTGGCTGTGAGATTTGATTGATTTGGTTGCGAGTGCAGTGCGCTTGCAGAGAGACTCCACCCACACACTCTTCTGATTGGCTGTGAGTTTTGATTGATTTGGTTGCGAGTGCAGTGAGTTTGCAGAGAGACTCCGCCCACACACTCTTCTGATTGGCTTTGAGTTTTGATTGATTTGGTTGCGAGTGCAGTGCGCTTGCAGAGAGACTCCGCCCACACACTCTTCTGATTGGCTGTGAGATTTGATTGATTTGTTGCGAGTGCAGTGCGCTTGCAGAGAGACTCCGCCCACACACTCTTCTGATTGGCTGTGAGTTTTGATTGATTTGGTTGCGAGTGCAGTGCGCTTGCAGAGAGACTCCGCCCACACACTCTTCTGATTGGCTGTGAGATTTGATTGATTTGGTTGCGAGTGCAGTGCGCTTGCAGAGAGACTCCACCCACACACTCTTCTGATTGGCTGTGAGTTTTGATTGATTTGGTTGCGAGTGCAGTGAGTTTGCAGAGAGACTCCGCCCACACACTCTTCTGATTGGCTTTGCGTTTTGATTGATTTGGTTGCGAGTGCAGTGCGCTTGCAGAGAGACTCCGCCCACACACTCTTCTGATTGGCTGTGAGTTTTGATTGATTTGGTTGCGAGTGCAGTGAGTTTGCAGAGAGACTCCGCCCACAGTCTCTTCTGATTGGCTGTGAGATTTGATTGATTTGTTGCGAGTGCAGTGCGCTTGCAGAGAGACTCCGCCCACACACACTTCTGATTGGCTGTGAGTTTTGATTGATTTGGTTGCGAGTGCAGTGCGCTTGCAGAGAGACTCCGCCCACACACTCTTCTGATTGGCTGTGAGATTTGATTGATTTGGTTGCGAGTGCAGTGCGCTTGCAGAGAGACTCCGCCCACACACTCTTCTGATTGGCTGTGAGTTTTGATTGATTTGGTTGCGAGTGCAGTGAGTTTGCAGAGAGACTCCGCCCACACACTCTTCTGATTGGCTTTGCGTTTTGATTGATTTGGTTGCGAGTGCAGTGCGCTTGCAGATAGACTCCGCCCACAGTCTCTTCTGATTGGCTGTGAGTTTTGATTGATTTGGTTGCGAGTGCAGTGAGTTTGCAGAGAGACTCCGCCCACACACTCTTCTGATTGGCTTTGAGTTTTGATTGATTTGGTTGCGAGTGCAGTGCGCTTGCAGAGAGACTCCGCCCACACACTCTTCTGATTGGCTGTGAGATTTGATTGATTTGTTGCGAGTGCAGTGCACTTGCAGAGAGACTCCGCCCACACACTCTTCTGATTGGCTGTGAGTTTTGATTGATTTGGTTGCGAGTGCAGTGAGTTTGCAGAAAGACTCCGCCCACACACTCTTCTGATTGGCTGTGAGTTTTGATTGATTTGGTTACGAGTGCAGTGAGTTTGCAGTGAGACTCCGCCCACACACTCTTCTGATTGGCTGTGAGTTTTGATTGATTTGGTTACGAGTGCAGTGAGTTTGCAGTGAGACTCCGCCCACACACTCTTCTGATTGGCTACAGTATGACTTCATGCCGGTAGTCAAAAATCTTGCTTGGGAGATTTGATAAAACATAACAGTCGTGCTAATTGGTTACAAAATGCGACCTTTCATTCTATTGTGTTGAGCAGATGAGTGTGTGGAGGCCAGACACACGGCCGTCTCACTGTACTTCAGTGTAGATGCCAAGAGACAGAACACACACACACACACACTCAATCACACACACACACACACACACACGTTTGGCTGAACACACCAGGGATGGAAATTAGCACCCGCCACCAGCCAAATGCGGGTGATTTTGTGTTGTGGCGGGTAAACTCGCTTCACCTACCGGCAGTGGCGGTTCTAGCCCATTTCAACTGGGGGGGCCAAGCTGGGGCCAGTTGTACTGTTAGAGGGGCCAGTTACATTTAGACCTTATTGTTGTCCTATCATTTTCTGCACTGCTGCAGGCATTAACAGGCAAAATACCGTGTTTATAATCATTCAACAATGTATTTGCATTTCCATTATATTTTTACATTTGCATTACATATTCAGTATTAGTCACAGTAACTGTAATAGACATGATGTCCTTCTTTCTCTTCATTTTGAGAACTATAGAGCAAAAGCAATGGGGACCAAGAAGCTTATTAATTCATTTACTGAAAATAACTGACTTTCTAGGTAACTACGTCTAACCGTTTACAGGGTTCCTGCACACTTTTTAAAAAAAATTTAAGGCTTTTTAAGACCTAAAGAAATCAAAATTAATACCGTACATTAGGGGTGTGCAATATTGACAAAAATATATTTCAATATTTTCAACGTTTTGTTGATAATAATTAGATGATATTTTACTGATTGTGTTTTTTTGCTGGTGCCATGGCTGGTTTAGGCCTGTTGTTGACAGCTGTCTCACGAAGATATTCATATTTTTCATATTATATGGTCAGTTCACAGCAGTGACAGAAATATTTTTTTTAATTAAGGGGCAATATTTGCCACCTTAAATTGATTTCCAGGGGCATTTTCACCTATATATGGACATTTTTTCTAAACTTATTTAGAGTTATGCATCACCTTTTATGTCAAATACTAACATTCAAATTATACAATAATTATACTTATTTATACAATAATACTTAATTATACAATAATTATACAGTACCACTGCTACCAGTCAAATTAATTAATTCAATCAAAATCCATCTTTGCAGTGCAGAGGTGACACAGAAGTGGCATTCATATATTTACACTCCATTTACAATAGCATAAATAAAGCTATGAGATTTTTTTAAAATCAATATTTAAATATGAAATGATTTC